CTGCAAGACATATGCCCTGGTCCCCTTCCCTGCTGGTCACTGTCTTCCCACTGGGAAGAAGGCCTCTGGCCAAGGCCATCTGTGTTTTGTCAAAATGCCCTGAAAGCGTGCATATCTGCCAACTCAAGACAGTTTCCGAGAGAAAACATCTTTGTTTCTCTTCTTGACACGTAATGCTTGCTCCCTTTCCCCGTGCTGGGGGTATATAATCTTTTTCCCATGTCTATTGGGGTGCAAAAAGCTTTATACTGACCAGCTGCCATCACTTCCTTCCTGTAAGTAATAACAAATCCATGTCTTTACCAATCTGTCCTGCAGGTGATTTTTTTGGAATAGGTAAACATTATGTGAGCACCCTAACTGATCTGGGGTTGCCATGATACACCCAGCTACCTCCCAAATGTTCCACTTTCTAATACAGTCACAGAGGGGGTTAGGAGGTCAACAAATGAATTGGGGGGGGGGGACACAAACATTCAATCCGTAGTAACTAGATCATCATAAGATAAATAAAAAGGTCTCAAACACGCGGTGGCATGACCATCTTTTTCATAAAAGATAGTTGTCAATGCAAGAGATCCTAAGTCCATTTATACCTAAATTGAGGTTCCATGTTTACCGAAAGCAAACACACAAACCAGGAAGTAAAAGACCCTTTGGATAGCTCTGTTTTCCTGTGCTCACCTCTAGAATTCTCAGAACCACTTTTCTAAGATGGAGGTTAGTTAAAGTATGTCACCCTCAGGTGTGTGAGGTAGAAGAAAGTCTGGAGGGGAAGGAAGAATGGAGAATTGACTGACATTTTGAGAGGAAAAACACTGCTTTTCCATCTGCAGGCAGAATCCACGTAGGTACAGAGAAGTGAGCATTTTCACATATTGCTAATTTTTTTAAATTGCTATGAGAAATTTTCACAATATGTACCAACACTTTAAGTGGGCATACATTTCAGACAAGAAATTCTATTTGGAAATTTATTTTAAGAAAACAATAATGGACTGTGTAAGACGGTGCTATTTATATTCAATCGAGTTTTGCTGAAGGTATGCTGTATCCGAATAGTGCAGTGCTTGGCAGACAGTTTAAACTTACTGTGGGAAGAACATTTAATGACAAGAAAAAAATGTTAGTATATATATCCTCAAGTAGAAATAAGTTATTAAACGGAAACTGTATGAGATTGATCAAATATTTGTTTACAAGTACCCATATGAATACATATATATGTATATATGTACATATATATGTATATATATATATAAAGATTGGAAAATATTGTACTTTTGTGTTCATCCATATTTTGTGCTTTTTACATTTTTCTACAAATAATATGTATCATTATTTTTGTAATAAGAATAAAAACAACCAACATTATTTATTTTCTTTTTTTAAATATTTAAGTGTATTTATTTATTTTTTTCTTTTAGAGAGATAGAGTCTTACTATGTTGCCCAGGCTGGTCTTGAACTCCTGGACTCAAACAATCCTCCTACTTTGGCCTTCCAAAGTGCTGGGATTACAGGCATGAGTTACCATGTCTGGCCACAACATTATTAAAAAAAAAAACAAAAAAAACTGCAACAAAAAAACAAAGCTCAATTTCATTTTATGTGATTGAAAAGGAACAAATAGGTGACCTTCAATTAAAAACAATAAAGAATTCTAGCCAGGCTCGGTGGCTCAGCCTGTAATCCCGCTTCTTTGGGAGGCTGAGGTGAGTGGAATGCTTGAGCCCGCGGGTTAGAGACCATCCTGCGCAACTTAGCGAGACCTCATCTCTACAATAAATTAAAAAAAAATTAGCCGGGCGTGGTAGTGCGCGCCTGTAGTTCCAGCTTCTTGGAAGGCTGAGGCAGAAGGATCGCCGGAGCCCAGCAGTTCGAGGCTGCGGTGGCCGGGAGCGGCCACTACACTCCAGTCTGGGCAACAGAGTGAGACTCCAACTCAAAAAATAAATAAATAAAAACAATAAAGAATTCTCCCTTCTTTGCCTATCAAGAAACTTTCTGAAGGAAAGCTGTTTGGAGTTCTGCTCTTCTAAGGAGGACACTCACGGACTTACAGTCATCCATGGGCCACAGAACCAGGGCTGTGAGAGGGGCCCACGAGGGGAAGCTCGGGTCACCCCTCAGACCTTGTGGGGAGTCTCTTTCTCTTCTCTCCAACCCCCTTCCTCTTTGTCTTTCTTTTTCAGCCTCTCTTCTGAGGCTTTAGACAGTTCTCCTCCACACATGTGCATACCCATCCTCAGGCTGTTTGGAAATTGAGCATTTGGGAATCTGCTATGGAAGGAACAAGGGCACAGGAACGGCCTGGGTGCTCATCTCCCACCTCCCATTTATTCCTGAGACCAGACCAATTAAGGGCCTTCTCCAGACCCGCACTCTCTCCTTTGGAAAATGAAGAGTTGTAGGATTGGTGTGGTGAAGTTTAAAGCCATCAAAACAAAGGAGTCTCATTCTGTCGCCCAGGCTGGAATGCAGTGGTATGATCACCGCCACCCAACCTCAACCTGCTGGGCTCAGGCGAGCCTCCCACCTCAGCCTTCCAAGTAGCTGGAACTACAGGTGCGCAACACTACACCAGGCTGATTTTTAAAATTTATTTGTAGAGACAAGGTCTCGCCAAGTTGCCCAGACTGGTCTCAAACCCTTGGACTTGGGCAATCTTCTCGCCTCGGCCTTCCAAAGTGCTGGGATGACGGGCGTGAGCCACCTCGCCCAGCCCAAGAGGTATTTTTGAAAGGACTTTTCAGCAGGGGCTAAGAAAAGTATACAAACTATACATCTTATTTCCCCAGTCTTGAAACAGTCCTGTATGATGTAACAATGTTTCAGTTAACAACAGGCAGCCTATAGGATTATAATGGAGCTGAAACATTCTGTCTCCTGGTGACATTGAAGACATCCAGCATAGCACCACACATTAGTCACGTGTTGGTAGTGATACTGGTGTAAACAAATCTACTCTGCTGTGAGCTGTATCAAAGTCTAGCACTTACAATTATGTACAGTGCATAATACTTGATACTGATAAACAACTCTGCTATTGGTTTAGGCAATCACTATACTTTTATCATGATTTTAGACTATTCTCCTTTTACTTGTTTTTTTTAAAAAGAAATTGCCTGTAAAACAGTCTCAGGCAGGTCCTTAAGGTGGCAATCCAGAAGAAGGCATTGTGATCAAAGGAGATGGCAGCTCCATGTGTGTCATTGCCCCGAAGACCTTCCTGTGGGACAAGATGTAGAAGACAGTCATATGGATAACCCTGGATCTGTGGAGGCCTAGGCTCATGTGTGTGTTTGTGGCTTGGATTTTTTTTTTTGAGTTGGAGTCTCACTCTGTCACCCAGACTGGAGTGCAGTGGCCGCTCCCGGCCACCGCAGCCTCGAGATGAGGTCTCGCTGCCCAGGCGGGTCTCAAACCCGCAGGCTCAGGCAATCCATTCACCTCAGCCTCCCAAAGGCGCAGGGTGGCCTGGATTTTAACGATAACATTTTAAAAGTAAAAACAAGTATAAATAGAAAAAAGTTATAGAATAAGGATATGAAGAAAGTATTTTTGTACAGTTGTGCAATGTGTTTGTGTTTTAAGCTAAGTGTTATTATAAAGGGTCAAAAAGCTGTTGTTTGTTTGTTTGTTTGTTTGTTTGTTTTTTGAGTTGGAGTCTCACTCTGTCGCCCAGACTGGAGTGCAGTGGCCGCTCCCGGCCACCACAGCCTCGACCTGCTGGGCTCCGGCGATCCTTCCGCCTCAGCCTTCTGAGTAGCCAGAATTACAGGCATGCGCTACCACGCCCGGCTGATTTTTTGATTTATTGTAGAGATGAGGTCTCACTGCCCAGGCGGGTCTCGAACCTACGGGCTCAGGCAATCCACTCACTTCAGCCTCCCAAAGGCGTGGGGTGGCTTGGACTTTAACGATAACATTTTTAAAGTAAAAATAAGTATAAATAGAAAAAAGTTATAGAATAAGGATATGAAGAAAGTATTTTTGTACTTTGTGCAATGTGTTTGTGTTTTAAGCTAAGTGTTGTTATAAAGGGTCAAAAAGTTGTTGTTTGTTTTTTGTTTGTTTTTTTGAGTAGGCATCTCACTCCGTTGCCCAGGCTGAAGGGCAGTGGAATGCTAATGGCCACCCCAGTGTTGTCCTGCTGGGCCCAGTGATCCTTCCGCCTCAGCCTTCCAAGTAGCTGGAACTACAGGCATGTGCTACCACACCTGGCTAATTTTTGATTTATTGTAGAGAGGAAGTCTCGCCAAGTTGCCTGGGCTGGCCTCGAACCTGTGGCTTCAGGCAATCCTCTCACCTCAGCCATCAAAAGTTTTTTAAAATCACAAGTTAAAATGGAAAAGTAATATAGTAACTAAGGTTAATTTAATATTAAAGAAAATACATTTTTTTAAACATAGTGTAGTCAAGGTATACAGTGTTTATAAAGTCTATCGTAGTAAACAGTAATGTCCTAGACCTTCACATGCACTCAGCAATCACTCACAGACCCACCCAGAGCAACTTCCGGTCTTGCAAGTTCCCTTCATTTTGAGTGCCTTATCCAGGGGTAGCATTTTTTATCTTTTATACTGTATTTTTACTGTACCTTTTCCATGTTTAGATACACAGTACTTATGTTATTATAACAGCCTACGATATTCAGATACAGTCACGTGTTGTACAGGTGTGTAACCTAGGAGCAATTGGCTAGACCATTTAGCCTGAGTGTGTCATAGGCTAGACCACCAAGGGTTGTTTGACTTAGTGCATGCTGTGATGTTCACACAACGCTGAATCGTCTAACAACTCATGTCTCCGAATGTATCCCCACCATATACATTTTTCAGAACCTATCCCCATTGTTAAGTGACACATGACTGTATAATGGAATAGTATTTCCAACAATGCAGTTTCTGTATGATCAAAGGAGTTATAAGGCTCGAAAGAGAGAAAGGATTTAGGTAAAATAATATTGATTTGATTTTTCTTGCTTTCTTCATCTAGTTTTGCTGGTGACTGGAATACATTCAAATAAAGAAATGATAAAGAAGATTAAACGGCCCAAGTTCAGTAAGTAAAATCGAAATCCCTCACTGGCATAAAGTTTGTTTCTCCCATGTGGAGGGTCGTTAAACTTGTTTTGGATGTTAGGGAAGGTGGTTTTTTGCTTTGCTTTGTTTTTTGTCTCTATCACAATTAATTTCCATGCGGACTAAGTAGTGATGTCTTATTCATCACCTACCACATTCCAAAAAGGATTTGTGAAAGGCGCCCTGATTTTAGGGTAAAAAGTATGGGGTCCTCCTATGCACACATAAAGATGAGGCCACACTATATCTCTATGGCTAAGCTGAATAGGTATTTTCTTGCCACTGAAACACTGTGTCAATTCCCTATACCAGAAAATTGTTTGGTTAATGCAAAGATCCAGCAAACCTGCCTACCTTCCACCATGCCCTGGGGTCAGAGGGTAAATCACAGAAAAAAAACCCATGAGATTTCACAAACAATCAATGAAAAGACAAAAAATAAATTTCACTTTTGGATGACATAGCAGCTAAGATTAGATGACAGAACATCTGAAATAATAGTTGCTTCCTTAAGATGAAGGTTTCCTTCTTTCTCCTATAAATGTGGTCAGTCTGGGCTTATATGGAAGCTCCACCATCTTTCAAGGACCCAGACTTCTGTCTTGTCATACTACCATTCTAATGGTGGCTCTCAACTCGGTGTCCAAAATGGCTGCCTCCATGCCATCCATCATGTCCGCATTCCAGTAGTTGGAAGAGATGAAAAACAGCACACACTGGCTCCCTTTAAAGATACATGCAGAAAGTCGAATGCTCCCTTTCGCCAGCAGAAAGGGAGAGTGGGACCTGACTTGAGTTCAGACATGCACATGCCTCGAAAGTAAGAAGTTCTATTACCAAGAGCGAAGGTAAGAATCGATACTGGGAAATAAATGGCAGGACAGGCCACAGATGGAAAATCTCACACTCAAATATCATGAACACCCTGAGATGTCTGGATCCAAATTTGCAGGCTCGATCGGGGCTGGAGTTAAGATGTGTTTATAAAGAACCATTTTTAAAAGTTTCTAGATAGTCAGTGTCCTGTGATCTCCACAACGGAAACTTTCCTAATAGGCATTACATGTTGGTGCCTTGAAATCATCAACATTAATCTTCTGAAATAAAAGAAAGAGATTGTCTTCACATACCACCCTTTTTTTTTTTTTTTCCCTTCTGTTCCTCTAAACCTTCCATGTGAGATTTCCTGTTGAAATGAGACCAGGAGGGCAACCTTCCACAGTCTCCCAGGCTGAAATGCTAAAAAGGAACCAGTTGTTTATTTATTTCTGTCAGGACCGAGAGCCAAGAGATGCAGCCCAGGGGCAGACGTGTGTTCAAAACAATGATCGGGTTAATACGGAGACAAATGCACGCCCAAGTATGAATTCCTTTGGGCTGTTTCCAGTATCTTCATTAGCTCATATACAAAAATCATGAAAGGTTCCACGATTACCATGACAACAGTTTGCAGGGACTATGAAAGTCTGTGCTAAATGACCCAGGGGCAAACCTCTTTGAGAGCTCTCAAATGGATTGAATTTCTGATATGCTAAATTCTAGCCTTATTCTCGAAATCTCCCTAGTGATACAGCACATTTGAATCAATAAATGCATGAGGTCTTTTCTCTAATTAGAAACTCTGGCACAATCATTAAATAGGGGGAAAAAAAGATACAATGGAGGTAATTGGATATTCCCAAGCCATGGAGATATCTGATTCTTGACCTCAGGAGTATTTCCAAATCATAGTCTGTAGCTTGAGGCCAAAGTCATTTTTTTTTCTTTTTTCTTTTTTTCTATCCAATATTGTCAGTCTACTGCTGGGGGAAGTGACTGATGGCAAGGAAGGTACATCATTCATTCACTTCACAAGTATTTCCTGGGTGCCCGCCAAGGACCAGACACTGTGTTAGACACACATACAATAGCCATTGAGATTCAGTACACAGAGCTCACAGTCCAGGGAGGAAGAAAGACAACTGATAAGGAAAACGCCCTGTATAAGTGCTAGAGCAAGGGGAGCTTAAGAAACTCTTAAGAGTATAAAGAAACTGTGTATCAGGGAGGACTTTCTGGAGGAAAGGACACACCTACATTGATTCTGAAGGTGAGAGAGAGATTGGCCAGACAAAGATAAGAGGAAAAGAGTGTTACAGACAGATAGAATAGGATGGGTGCAGTGGGTCACACCCATAATCCCAGCACTTTGAGAGGCCATAGAAGGAGGATCACTTGAGGCCAGGAGTTCAAGAAGAGCCTGGGTAGCATAGTGAGACTCCCATTTCCACAAACTGTAGTCTCAGCTAATTGGAAGTCTGAAGTGGGAGGATCACTAGAGCCCAGGAGTTTGAGGCTGCAGTGAGCCATAATTGTGCCACTGCATCCCAGTCTGGTAACAGAGCAAGATTTTGTCCGTAAAAACATTTTTTTAAGAATAATAATTAAATTAGTGAATTAAAATAAACAGAGAGAACATATCATGCCCAAGGCCTGAAGCGTAGTTCAACATGGTTGAAATACAGAGTGGGAGGTGAATGTGCCGGGGTAAAAGACGGAGAACAAGCCAGCCCAGATGAAGAAGGGCTTTACCACTGTGTCTGGGATCTGGGAGTCCAGACCTCATCATGAGAGGTGTGGAGAGCTTCTCAGTGTGGATTGCAATAAGCAGAAAGCCAAGGCCAATTTGCTGAAGCCAAAGAGGGAATGTGGGCCCGACATGGGGTAGCTCACAGAACCCAAGGCAGGAAGGGCAACTGGAACACTTGGGCTGGGCCTCAGGGATGGCGCCTCTGCCCATCTGTCTCTCTGTCTGTCTGTCTCTTTCTCTGCAGACTGTGCCTCTCATTCCTGCTTCCTAATTCCTGGCAGAGAGACTCTAACTCACCAGCCTAGTTGGGCAGGGGTCCACCCCTGTGAGGAGAGCACAGTTCCCAGAGAAAAGTGGTTAGGGTTGTGTTAGGAAAAGGAAGCAATCCTGCCAACGACAACCACACAAAACAGCTTTATACCAACATATGAAGAGAGAAGAGAGAGAACACAGCTTGTTAGTAAGCATTGGAAATGTACTTGCATGTATAGGGAGCATGAAAGTGTGTACACAGTTGGGGCAGAATTTCACTTCAAATTATATAAACTCCACCCAGAAGGGCTCACACCCTGAATGGTGCTTCTCCAAGCAGCTGCCAGGGGACGTGGATATTTCCCTACTAGAACCTACCCACTCCTCCCACCTTCCCAGTCTTAGAAGATCATTATCCCTCCATCACTCTTTGGGCTGATCAAGCCCACTCCCTTCAAGCAAGGGGGATTTGGAGAATCCAATTCCCAAAGCCCAGAGGGAATGCTGTCGTGGACGGGTAACTCTGGTCTCACTCCCACATCCTTGAACTCCCAAGGTAGGAAAGCATGAGCTTAGAATAGAATAGTAAAAGGGGAAAAAAGACCATGAGAATATGCATGAAATAATGACCTCACAACTTAACCTAGTGGATAGTCCAAGGTCAAGTTTATCTTATGGCACTAATGAGAGTTTCATCACCGTATTTCTAGAGGTGACTTTTTCAAGGCTCTCATCCTCCTGATAAGTCTTAGAACCGTAGATCTAACCTTACCCAGAGGCACCTTAGAGGGAGGCTTAGTCTGCACAAACCTACTCAAGCAGTTGCTAGCAAATTACCATAATGTGGCTGCATTTTTCTTGATTGTTTAAGGCTACAAGTAACAATCGAACAGTTTAGATGTGTTCATAACACTCTTCTCCTAAGGCAGGCACACAACCTTTTGAAGTTTAAGGATTAATTTTATTTATGTGCAGGTTACACATTCAAAAAGGACCCACTCTATTGCGTTAGCCATTCAGCCCATACTGGAATAAACACATTATGCGTTTCCACATAAATCATGTCCACCAAAGACTCTAGAGGAATCCCTGCCTGGCAGTGTGTGCTAGAGGGAGAAAAGCTTTCAAGTTGTAAAATCTCATCAACAGCTTTTCCTCACATGAAGAAGCCCCCCAAAGAGCCTCGGAGGCAATGATGGCCTTAGTGCAAAATGGCATCAGCTGTGATCAGGTTTAAGGGGTGGGATATCATGGGACATGCAGCTGGAAGGTGGGTTAGGACCAGCAGGCAATGCCAATCTGCGAAGCTGTCTTTCTTCATCACTCACTAGAGGGTGGAGATTCCTGAGAGTTTTCAGAGCAAGAAATTTACATGATGAAGGCAAGAACCAGCAAGATAAGTAAGATTCTTCATAGGAGGGAAGCTACATTCTGAAATCTTTCCATTACACTGGAGTCTGTTGACATAGACTTAACTCGGGGTGAAATGTACTGCCTTTACTTCATAGCATTTTCTCAAATAAGTTCATCTTTTTTAACTTTTTATTTCTTTACTTTTAGAGACAGGGTCTTGTTCTGTCACCTAGGCTGGAGTGCAGTGGTAGAATCATGGTGCACTGCAGCCTCCAACTCCTGGGTTCAAGCGATCCTCCCATCTCAGCCTTCCATGTCACTGGGGCTAAGGTGCATGCCACCACACCCAGTTAATTTTTTTAAAAATTTTGTAGCAACAGGGGTCTCATTATGTTGCTCAGGTTGTTCTCAAACTCCTAGCCTCAAGCGATCCTCCTGCCTCAGCCTCCCAAAGTGCTGGATGACTGGTGTGAACCCATGTGCCCGGCTAAGGAATTATTCCTAATACCTTGTAAGGCCTGGAAAGATTTTTGCAATCAACCTTGAAATGATGGATGACTCCTGAATCTTGGGCATAAAGAGGTCATTGTTCTGGTAGTTGGTTACTTAGCATATTGGACACCGATGAAGAGAAAGACAGCTCTGTGGTTACAGGATTTGGTAGAACATGCACCCAGCTTCTTGAGTAAGTTTACGGGTAGCAATGTGCAAGTTATCCTGTGTTTGCTTGCTTCTTAGACAGTGTGTTCTCCAGACGGATGTGTGTGTGTGTGTGTGTGTGTGTGTGTGTGTGTGTGTGTGCGCTC